GGGATTTCCCCTTCCACCCTCCCCTCGCCGCCCCCCACTGTTTTTCTGTATATTATGACAGTGAAGTCTTTCAACAACATTTATAACTCCATCATTCAAGTGTGTTAAGATACTTTAGCTATAGACAACGATAGAACGTCAGCATTCTACTGTCAGATTTTTTTTTCCTTAATCAGTCAAAAGACACTTAAGGATGATGGACTTGTGACTGTTGTAGAAGGACTATACTATTTTTATAATATAGAAGGAAACGGTGGAGGGAGCGGAGAGGAGCAGAGTGGAAGAGGAAATCCCTGAGCCTAAGGAACTGCATCATATGAAGTGTTATCAAAAACAAACAAATTAAAAAATATAAGAAGCAAATACCCAGAGCTTTATATAAGGTGTATCAATAGAGGATCCTTGTCTTCATCCAAGTACAAAACGTTGTGTCATAGACATCAAGGTAAAAAGGTATTTGTAACTAAAATCTACTAGCAAAAACTGGCTTAAAATTTGCTAAGAAGAATTTAAAAAAAATTTCCTGCCCTTTATGTAATCATCAGCTGTTACTTCAAACTGCTAAATTTGATAAATATTGTTATTTCCCCTTCTGGTGAGCATTCCTTTATTTTTTTCAACTCAAATATTTGCTGAGGACATACCATGTTCAAATTTCTGTCCTCACTGCATTTCTTTGCTCTTTCTCTCTGTCTTTGCTTCCTTCTGTCCTGACACCTAACTATGTCTGTGGCCCAGAAAGGAAAAGGATCTTAATGTAGTTTCTGTTTTCCAGCAAGCATGACAGCTAATATTTATATTTACAGTGCTATCTCATGTCTATTAGGCATTGCAATTTTGATGCTAATAGTTTAATTCATCTTTCTTTGTTACTGCCTTTGCACTGACTTTGTGTATTGCATATATAAAATCTCTTTTTTTGGGAAATGCAATAGAAGTCATCAGCACTTCTAAAAGTAAGGGATGGTGAATGAATTTGGGAGAGTTATGTCCAAAACTGTGTATAGCTTCAAATTAGATAATGATCACAATTTGATTTACAAAGTTTCTGGAAGAAAGCAGCATCTGTTCCCTGAAATTACCTGACATTTTGACAGTATTCATGGAAGTAATAGCATGGTTTGTCACAAGAAGGGAACTAGTTTGTGAATTATCTCAGGTGGACAGGTATGGTATAGTTGATGAGAGCTGCTGTGAGGTCAAGAACTAGGGCTTCTGAAGGTGTAGGTGTGACTGGATTCTTGGCTTCTGCTTGTAGCAGCATCAGCTTGGGGATGTTGCTTCTGCTCAGTAGGATGCACTTTCTCCCATGATATGAGATATTATTAACTTCCAAGGTGGTGGTGAATAATTTTAAATAATATGTAAGAAATCTCATGTCACACACATAAAGTATGTAATAGAGAACTAATTATATGCACTTCTGTTTATAGCACTCACTGAGCAGTATAGAAGACATATATGTGGGCCCAGTGCAATAGCATAGTGGTTAGTCTTTGCCTTGCACACCCGGGATCCCATTGGGCACCGGTTCTAATCCTGGCAGTCCTGCTTCCCATCCAGCCCCCTGCTTGTGGCCTGGGAAAGCAGTCAAGAACGGCCCAAATCTTTGGGACCCTATTCCCAAGTGGGAGACCTGGAAAAGGCTTCTGGCTCCTGGCTTCGGATTGGCTCAGACCCAGCTGTTGTGGTTGCTTGGGGAGTGAACCTCTGGAAGGAAGATCTTCCTCTCTGTCTCTCCTCCTCTCTGTATATCCGCCTTTCCAGTAAAAATGAATAAATCGTAAAAAAAGCAAGACATATATGCAAATAAAGTTGAATCTTTTCTGATTTGAGCAAAGCTTTCAATTGTTGTGGCTTGGAATCATGAGTACGTGAAAGGAAGTCTTGGCTGTGCCAAACTCAGCAAAAGCAGCAGATTATATAATCGTGACTAAGCATGTGGTGAGCCTGGTGACTAAGCCTGGAGAGGCTTCTGGTGAAATCAAACTTAGTTTGCAAGAGCTACCTTGGAGCAATCCTTCCAGTGTCCACACTTGAAAAGGAAACGTCAACCATCATTCCCCAGCAGAAACGAAGTGCTTTTGTTTCCACCAATCACTATCTTAACCTACTTATGGAAAAAGCTAATTTTACATTATTGCTTTCTGCGTTTTCCTTCCATTCTTCAGATTCTAATTTTCCAGACTGTATGCTTTGCTTAAACATTTCAGTTCAGGAAATATTAATTACATAGTCTGCATGTGGCAAGAAAGCTTTTCCTTAAACATAGAGATTATATGATTCAAGGCAATGGAAGATGGAAAATAGTCCAAGTACTTGGCCTCTGCCATTCATGTTGAAGATCCAGATGGAGTTCTGGCTCCTGGTTTTGGACTGGCCCACCCCTGGCTGCTGTGGCATTTAAGAAATAAATCAGCACATGGGAGATTCCCCCTCCCCCAAAAAGAGAGAGAGATTGAGAGATTATATAATTCATTGAGATCTCCTGCTACTGAACTGTCTCTTCAAAATCCTACATGAAAGACTCTATGTGTATCTGTATTCTAACAAGTAAAAATGAGAAGGCTTAAGAATTCATCCTATGTTTTAATCTTGCCTTGTCCTTTTGGTTCGGAAGTACTGTTTTTAATTGGTTTTTGATCCAGTTTAGTTGGCGCTGGGTTCTCCCTTCCCCCTGCTCCACTTTCCCTCGCCTCCCCTCTGTTCAATAGAGCTTGCAAGTAGCTCTTCATTGGTTGAGACACTGGCTAGGGTAATGTGTATTGACTTGAGAGAGAATAACAAAACATTTCAATGAAATTTTCTGGACCCATCTGAGTGGCAACGGGGGCAGGCAACAAGTGTTGAAGAGCTGAAGTAGTTTATCTGAATACTTGGTGAGTGTTTTGAAAATTGAATTTTTATACCACCTTCACCATAATCTTGTATTACATAATGAGTTTATGCACCAGTAACTCAAAGAGCAAATACATCTTTTTGTCTTTTATTGCAAATTAACCAGTCTGTTTTCTTGCTGCTTCATGGAACTTTCAGTTGTGTTAAATCTCCAATTCAAATCTTTTTCTGATTTGACCACAAGCTGGAATTAAAACTAGATGACTGTGAATTTCCACAGTTAAGACAAATCTAGATACAAACTCAACAGTTTTTAATGCACAATTGCATTAAATGATAAATTCCTTGCAAATAATTGATAACCCTATAAAAATACTCACTAAGATACATCTTGACAGAGAAATCTCATAGCACTTTTTAAACTGTGTTTTGGAAGACAAGGAGTTTCATGGAGATGTTCCAGAGTACTTTGTGTTTTCTCAAAGTAAGACATGCTGGGGGTGTGCGGTAGGGAAGGACAGTGTGGTAGGGTGGAATCAGATAGCCAGCAGGAGAGAAGCAGTGGTCGGAATAATAAGATAAATGCACTGTGGGTTTCTATGGTAACCAGGGACCCCAGCTGTTCCTCTGCCCCACAGTTCCATGTAGAACAACCCACCTGTGCCAAGTCCCACTCTGCTTTAGAAACCAATGATTCATTGCTATATTAAATTGCTACAAGGATTTCAGTTCATGAAACAGTACCAATTACTTTAGTTGAGTTGAAATCTCTAATGCACTTATCAAGAAATGTTTTCCTAATAAAGGCTACCAGTTTTCTTTTGAAAAGACACCTTTAGAGAGAGCACAAAGGAAGAAAACACACTCTCACGCTACATTTACAAGTCATTAAGGTTTGCTGGGCAATTTGTTCAGAAGTTAGTGGACTTGTTTTGCAGCTGTTCCGGGAACACTATAAGGAGTGTGAGGTGTTTATCGTGGGGGGTGTTTGTGGTCTAGAGCTTTCCACAGACTGTCCATTGCCTCACCACCTCTACTCCGTCCTCTTCGCTGCCACTGGCTGCAAGGACGTGCTGACGTTCCACTATCTCATTGTGATCAAGCGCCCCTGTCTACACACGGGAATAATAACGGAACTCACTTCATGCGATTTTTAGTTAAGATCACTCACATGAGATGATGCAATTACAGCAGTTGATGGCATTTGCTCTTTTTATAACTATTCCTTTTATTCCAGCAGGAAATATGCTTCTCCTCTAAGCTTTCCTAGCTCACCTACCAAACCTCAAGAGTTTCTTTCACTTCATCCCACTTAATGTGCTTAAACAGTCTCACCTCATCGAAACTGTAGAACATGCAAACATGTACACATACTTTGTGAGAGATCCTCCTGGTTTCCTATCAAGGTTGAAGCCTTGGCGTGTATTTGGGGGAATGAAGACTGAGCCTGTCTATGCTTTTCTTGGAGTCATAAGCAATGCGGTCTTATCATAGGAAAGAAACAATTACAGATAAACTAGTTCCTACTGGAATTGAGGTCATGTGGTGGAAAGCTTCACACCCTAGTTCTCCAGTGATGGGTTGTGTGCCCCAGAAGAATGTGTTTGACTTCATTGGTTCTGAGAAATAAATGAGGCTTATAGTACTTGACAGGACTACTGGAGTATTAGACATAACACACAAAAGCACACGATCAAGTCTCAGATACTTAATAGGCACCCATGAGTGACATCTATTAGCATTATCATTGTTACAGCAAAAGTATAATAGTCTTATTAGCATGAACTTGACTTTAATATTATACGATACTGATATGTAGATAGTATCTTGTTCCACAGACTATAGATGTGAATGAATACTTAAGATGTAACTTATATTCATTTTTGTGTTCTCTTACATAAAGAGTGCTAACATTGGAGCATAACAGATTTTATATTGCAAAATAATCGTACAGTAAATGGAAGAACAAGGAAAAAAGTGTTAAGTACACATGGATTTCATTAACACATTTGCTAGGCAGATATATATTTTTAAGCACAGAGGTGCGAAAGTCTGTGAAATGCAAAGTTCAGAAAAATATTTCATTTTGTAAAAAATTAAAAGAAAATATTTATGATGCATATAATCTATTAGAACAGAAACGCCGTGAACAGTTTTCTTACCTGGGCTGGAGCCACTAATTCCAACTCTGAAGTCGAGTCTGAGTTGAGAGCGCTTTTTCCACCACTCAGTTCTGGTTGAGATCTATGCTCTGAGGACCTGAAATGGATGCACAGAGAAGTTATTGTACATCAAGAGACAAATTGATCCAGAAATCTGTGAAAGAACTTAATGTGGATCACCGAAAGACATCAGAATGCTGATGAAAGAGCAATGTCATACGCAGCATTTATGTCTCACTCATCACAATCAGAATCAAGTTAACCAACAATATGCCAGGGGTTATTGTTTTTGATTTAGAATTCTCAAAGTAACTAAAGGCAATACCGTTTTTGTTATCAAAAATTCTGCTTTATTAAAAAAAATTACTGTGCTCTTCTAAGGGTGAAACTTACACACTGAGGTGTAATTTCATCTTTACATAGATTTTGAAAACGAGGGAGATATGTGAAGGCCAAATATGAGGCTTGTCTTCCAGAAAGCTTCACTAATGTGGTAAATCTCTTGTGGTCAGATTTCCTCAAGGGCATCCATGGATTGTTTTAAACTATTGGATTACCTGATAGTGGAAGTTTGAGAAAGTCAGACAATGTTACATGTAAAGCTACAAATTTTAATGTAACTGTCATTTGCATAATATATGGACTGTATTTACCCTTCAAGAATACTTCAGAAAGTTCTTGAAGAAATGTACATTATCTTTTCATTATATTTCCAAGGCCTTTCAAGGTACATTGTATATCTTCCTAAGTGCACATAGGTAGCTATTTTGACTCATTAGCTTGGATATGTATGCAGTAAATCATCAACAAATGTTGAATGATGGATTTCCTCAAATCCTCATCAGTTAACCTGACTTTATTTCTGATGGTCCTGATGACCAAAGTTAGAATTATTAGAAATCTCAATAATTAATGTGTCTGTGTAGACAGTTTTGCAGCATACAAAACTTTTAGAATGAGTGAGATTGTTTGGGCTGATTGACTCAGTTATGTGAATACCTACCAAATGAACACATTTCCAGGTACCAAAATATCTCACCATAAGAGCTCTTTTGATCCAGTTCTGGATGAGCATGATTTTCTCTCTGCCATTGGCTGCCCCTTGCTGCTTCGATCTCCATGAAACTTCACATCTTCCCATTTTTCCAGTTGAGTTTGAATGTCTGCTAAACACACAGGAAGGGGCATAGTGTTCAGGGAGAGCATGAAGTGCAAAGATAAAGAGACTGATAAGATTGAGAAATCTTCTCCAAATGGACCCTGCTCAAACAAAGCCCACAGTTCCCAGTCCAACCTTTATCGTTTCAACATGGAATGAAAATTAATTGAAACCTGTGCTGTTAAAGAAGACCCTCTAAGATAAATCAGGCTACTTTCACAATTGAAGCATCAGCTTGTTTTGCCTGAATCTGTCTCAAGAGCTGTGTGTTTGAACTCATGGGATCTGGTGTAGCATGTGCATATGGAATATTCTCCTGTCAATCTCCCTGGGAAAGCGGGCTTTAGCCAGAAACTCTTGGTTAAAATGATGAACTTTGATGTTAAAATGAGGTGAGAAGAAACCAGAACTTTTTTTTTTAAAATGGCTTTTGCATAGGCTTTTCACCAAAGGAGGGAATTTATAATGGAGAATAGAGAGAAAGAAAGCTATGAAGAAAGCCAGGAAAACGGCAGAATCCCTTTCTATCTGGGGCTTACATCTCACAGAGGAGGAATTGGCTATATTTTCTCTCATTAGCAAGTGTATAGCCATGAAGAAATCACTTAAGCAGCCGTGAGCTCTGCCATAGTTTCACTTATGTAAAGACAGGTTTGCTGATAGCCTCTAAGTCCTTTTCCTCCCTTCTGTAAAAGTTCCAAATGTGTCATTTTAGCTTTTTGTGAGTTCATGCTGCAGTGGGATTTGTACCTGCACATTGTTGTACAGCCATCACCTTCATATATCTCCAAAATATTTTCATCTTTTCAAATTGAAATTTTGTGAGCATTAAACAATAACTCTTCATCTCCTTCCTCCAAAAACTCCTTTTTGTTTCTATTCTACTTTTTTCTGTGACTTAACTGCTCTATTTAGCTTAACTGAATGACAACACGTGATATTTATCCTTTTGCAACTGGTTTATTTAAGTTAGTATAATATTTGCTAAACTCACCCATGTTACAACATACATCTGTGACCGATTATTCTGTAAGGCTGAATAATATTACTCTACATTTTGTCTAGACATTCATTTGAGGATGGGTATTTGAATTGTTACCAACTTTTGACTCTTGTGAACACCACTGTTGTTCTCCAAAGTGGTTTTAAATGAAATATTTTTACAGCTTCTTCAAAGACATCTCAGAAACAGAAGAAAAATGGTTACTTATACTCTTATTGCAGCATACTATCATACTTTGAATAATCTTATAAAAGCATGCGAATTTCATTTACTTATTTGTACAACCGAATAAACCTAAAGCACATGGAGGGTGAGGAAATAGAGTTATAAAAGCTTCCTCCAAATATAGGCATCAAAGAGGGAGATGGCAGAGCAGAAAGGATCCTTGTTTGTATGCAACTGGCTTTCTTCCCTTTCTACGCAATGTATTTTGGGATGGTGTCATATGAACCCCCAGATTGTAATATACACTCAAATGCTTCTGATTTCTAAACCTCCATGTCCGCCTCATCTCTTCCTCCTCAGCTTTAGGCACACATATTCAACTGTTGGCTGCATCCACAGAAAAGCCTCACAGTTATCTCTGCCATAACAGGTTCAAAGTGGAGCTCAGACGTTTGCAGCATGACTTCCTGTTTCTATTCTCTCTTGTACCCTCCATCACAGAGTCTGATGCATTATTTATGTCCCTCTTGCTCACATATCCACATCCATTCAATGCCCGAGCCAATCTTTTTTTGAACGTGTCTTTGCCTTATGATCCCATTTGCTACTTCTGGGTCTCTGAATTGGTCTCTCTGCCTTAATTCCTTTCTTCATACATCCACTAGAGAAGGATTTGCATCAAAAAATGAATCTGTTGCTGTCACTCCTCTCAGTCAAACCCTTCAAATATCACCCCCTTTCCCTCAGTCCTGAGGATAGACTAACCAGGGAGTTTCATTATCTAGCTGTTGGTCAGGTCACCATATCACTATTCTGTTACAATATTTTTATTTACTTGGAAAGGTCATCTTCCTGTATCAGGGTGCCTTCCTGTCTATTTGTGTCTGAGTCTCTTTCTCTTCTACACCAGGAATACCCCACTCTGTCCTTGCTACATCTCTTCTGAACCACCTTTTTCATGACAAGTTTCTATTCATCCTTCAAGACTTTGTTCACACAGTAATTCCATGACCAACTTTCTCACCTCCCTGGCTGGACAGGCACTGCATAACTGCTTGTGTGCCAAGAGTATGAACTTCCATTTATTACAGCATAGAGTTAATATTATAATCAGTTACTAATTTTTCTATCTCCCCAAAACTGTAAGTTTGCCAAGGGTCAGGAGCTTACAATATTTACCTTTGTATTCTTAGCCTATAGTATGTGCATGGAATACAGTAGGTGCTCGGAGAAATGTTTACTGAACAAATGAATAAATTAATGCATGAATACGTTACGTATGAATGTCATAATGGCATGTAATTTTACATATATATATTCCATTTATTCTTTAACAAGCTCATGGATAAATCACTAATATGCCCATTTTATGGACATATGTATTCACACATATACATGTGCTCATGCATGCACACACAAACACACACGTCAGTGAATCACAGATAGAAGAGATATTCTCCTTTGCATTCTGAGCTATCTGCCTCTTTTCCTGCAGGAGGTCATCTGTACTCCTTGGTTCTGTAGGCTGAGGAATAAGCTTTCCGTTCTCAGTAGCATGTAAGTCTGGAAGTAAACTGGAGCTAGACTTATTCCAGTTGTGCCTACTAACTGTCAGAGTTTGGGCAAGCTATCAACTTTTAAAGATTTATTTTTATTATTTTTTATTGGAAAGGCGGATATACAGAGAGGAGAGACAGAGAGGAAGATCTTCCGTCCGATGATTCACTCCCCAAGTGAGCGCAACGGCCAATGCTATGCCGGCCCGAAGCCAGGAGCTTCTTCCGGGCCTCCTACGTGGGTGCAGGGTCCCAAAGCTTTGGGCTGTCCTTGACTGCTTTCCTGGGCCACAGGCAAGGAGCTGGAAGGGAAGCGGGGCAGCCAGGATAGAACCGGCGAAGCTATCAACATTTAAAGGCTATCTCCCTACACATGATGTCCAAGAGCTGTAATGATGTAATGAGATGACTATTCAAATCATGGAGCAGGGCTGTAAGCCATCCCAATGCATGGCAGCTGTTTCATCACATTGCCTGTCTTCTCAAAAATGTCATGTCCTATTGTTTGGTTTGACTGCCCCCAGGCCTTGCATCACAGTTGTTTACTCACATGTTTTTCTCGTCTACTCCGGAGTGAGTGCCCCTAGAAAGCAATATTCACATTTTATCTGTATTTGTAACTCTTGTGACTAACACGGTACCTGATATCTATCATGAGCTCAACAGATACTAGTTGAATAAATAACTGAACAAATTAACCACAGTCATATAAAGTTGAGCTTCCTAAAGGCTATGCAATTAAAGCTCAGAATAAGCAATGTCCTGCTCAGGTTCCTAGATGGGATTCATCTTTCACTTTGCTCATGGTTTTAATGCCATTTGTGGAACCTCCCTGCTATTTCAACCCCAGCAGGGCAAGGATGAGCAGCATCCGTGCAAGCACTTGCCTTACCTAAATCTAATGATGAAGTCTCTGAGGCTCGGAGAGGCTGGCCTCTTGGCTCAGCATCTGCACTGATGAAGTCAGGTCCATCAGCCTTTTTCTTGAGAGATGAAGTTTTTGATGAAGGTTCCGATTTCTTGCCCTTGGTTTGAGTTTGAGAGACTGGTTCACTCAGGTCAAGGAGATCTAAGCCTGTGGTCAATACTGTCAGAAATGGAAAAGGTTAAGACAAGTTCTTCTACTCCACAGTTATTTTTCAAAAAACAGATTTTAGTTGAGTATGGAAGATTTCTGTCTAGGTAGGAGAGGACAGAAATACCTAACTAAATTATAAATCACTGATTCATAGAGACAGCTTCTTAAGGATACTGCTTGGGGTGCCCACCTCTTTTATTGAAGTGCCCGGACTAAAGTCCTGATTCTGCACGCTGGAAGGCAACAAGTGATGTCTCAAGTGCTTGGGTTCCTGCCTCTCTGCATGAGACTCCCAGATGGAGCTCCCAGCTACTGGTTTAGGCCTGCTCTACTTCTTAGCTGTTGTTGGCGTTTGGAAAAAGAGAATCAGCACATAGGAGATAGCTCTTTTACCCTATTTTCAAATAAATAGGCAAATAAAACTTTTTGAAAAAGTTAACTTAAAAACAAAAGACACTGCTTTAAACATCTGTGTCCCGTTTTGGAGTGGCTAGGTTTGATACCTGGTTTGGTCCCTCATTCCATGAGAGACGACAATCAACAGAGACGATGACTAAAGCGATGGGGCACCTGCTACCTACCTGGGAGAGTTGGAGTGAATGCCTGCTCCTCTTTCTGTGCCTCACATGACCATTGGGACACTTGGATAGGTTCTCTCTCTGCTTTTATGTCTCTCAAATTAAATGAATTTTAAAAAGTTTGTTATTTCTGAGGGTTTGCTTCATGGTTCCCTAGGTATAATAGGAAGCAAGCCAGGAAAAGCCAGGCCACATTAGCCTTAACAGTGAAGAAATTTTGATGAAATAAACATATAATTGGATCTGAGTTCACATAGTATTTATTTGTGGGTTTTTCAAAGAACTGACAATCTATCATATTCAGAGATTTGGTGACATTTCTGAATGTCTTTGTGTTTTAGTTTTAAGTGATCAAGTAGATGAGGCATAAAGAAATGTTGTTAATCATCTTTTATTTAATTAAACAATTCAATCTGAAAATGGCAGGTTCTTTTGGCTCACAATGGAGAAGTATTTTATAACCCACGGTTGATGAATAGCTATACAGGTTACTGCCTTTGTTGTTGTTTAATATGCAAATTAAAATGTAAAGATAATGGAGTATAAAACTGTTCCATTTTTTACTTTCTAGAAGACTGTTTACACTGTATTACATATTGTAAGGCTCAAATAATGGTTTGATCAAACACAAAATAAGAAAATGAGATTAAAAAGACAAATTTCATAATCTTTAATTTTGCTTTTGCTGTGCCAGTAAAGGTGCCCAACTCATTGGGAAAAATAGAAAATTCAAATAAGACAAGATTTCTCCAGCTTCACCTGGCTGGATCACCAACCAGCCTTGTGAGTTTGTGGGCAGGTCCCTAGACTCCCTGACCCAGTCTCTCTTTCTCCAGACAGCTTGTGCAAGCTGAGAAAGTAAGAGAGCAAGCAACTCCTTGCAGTAACCCTCGCTGGCACAGTCTAAGCGAAAAGAGCACCACTTCTCTTTGAGTGCCCGTTTCTTCCCCAGGTGCTGGATAGATTTTTGTTGACATCTCATCAGTCCTCCATCTGTGCTTGGCTTGCATGCAACGGAGAGTTGGGGTTCAGCGGCCCTTGCCACCAGGATGTCTTTAGCTCTCCACTGCCTGCTGAGCTGACCATTCTGACGAGAGCTGTGGAATGGTGCAGTGGGCGTTACTGTTTTAAAACAATTTATCTACTTGGTTTTATTTTCTAGAAAGGCAGAGAGAATGAGAGAGAGAGAGAGAGAGAAAAAAAAGAGAGAGAGAGAAAGAGAGAGAAACAGAGAAAAGCAGGGCGGGGGGTGGTGGAGAGAAAGGCGTGGAAGAGAGTCTATCTGTTGATTCACTACCCAAATACAACAGCCAGGAGCCCAGTACCTTGTAACTCAGTCTGGGTCTCCCATATGTGTGACAGGGACCTAAGCACTCAGGTGGTCACCTGCCACTTCCCTGGGGTACTCATTATTAAGATGCTGCATCAGATACGAAGCAGGAACTCCAAACTAGGCACTCGGATATGGGATGCCGGTATCTCAAGGAGCGTTTTAGTGGTGGCACCAAACATACATTCCCAGATTTTTCTCCTAATAATTTTCCGATTTCAATTCCAAGTCACAGTATCAGATAGTGCTAAAGGAGTGTATAAGAGCTGACTGTACTCTTGCTTAGATGTGTGATGAGGTAAGATTCTTAACCTTTTTGAGTTTCAATTTCTTCATGTGAAAAATGAGGAATTCATAATCTTTCAGGTGTGAGAGAAGAATTAAATGATTAATGGGTATAAAATGCCAGGCAAAAAATAGCAACTTAATAAATGCTATTTCCATTTTTAATGCCTCCATTTTATGAAGTTTTTGTTTTCTTTCTTTTCTTAATATTTTGTTGTTGTTGACCTCTTCTGATTTCCCCCATTTATTTCTTCCTTTCTATTGCGCTCAAGGCACACCTGCACTGACAGAGGAAGCACTAATGGAAACTACCTGAGGATGAGACAGCATGCTGGTTCTGCAATGGATCCTAAGAGGTGATTACGTCATAAACATCCTGGGAGTATCTGCACCTCTAAGCTGAGTCTCCCTGAGGAGGGGAAGCTACTTTTCAAGGTACTTGGAGGTCCCGGATATGCTTTGTGGCTGTGAAGAGCTTGAGTAAGGAGGAGCGGGGGACGTGACTTTCAGAACTGAGCCACTCAGCTTTCTGTCTATAATTTAAAGGTGGCAGGCAGCCAGACCAGGCTAGGATGCTAAGCTTTATTTCCACTGAAAGTTGAAACAGAAATTTCCAGGCCCTGTTATGTTCCCAACTCGATTTCCTTACAAACAAAAGGATGGAGGTGGATGCCAGTCTCTGGAATGCCATATGTCTTTTTACTAACTGTGCAAACACATAAGAGTTCTTGCCCCCAGACGTCTTTCAGAAGCAAATTATAAAGAAATTGTCTACTTGTGTATACGAAGGGCATTTGTTAGGGAATAATAACTGCTGAGTCCAAATTTAATTCTCTGTACACTTCTCACTATTCAGAGTAAAAGAAATTACTGAAAGAGTGAATAGTGAGTTCAAACTTGGCTCAGCCTTGGCTTTTCTCCCTCCAAGCAGTCCTGGGTGCTGCCTGTGTTTGTTCTAAGCTCTTTATCCCTTTGTACTCTTCTCGGCAAATATGAATTCTTGGCACACACAGAGGCCCTAACTGTTACCCAGTTGATGAAGGAAGTGGCTTGGAGGGCAAATGGCAAGCTTTGAAGCTGTAAGTCCCTGGGGACCACAATTTCAAAAGCAGAGAAAGGAGGATGGTAGCCTTTCTCTCTTGGAGGAAGACAAATTACATTTTAGTTGCGTACATGCACACACCAATGTGTGTAAGGCCATGCATTCAACAAAGGGCCTTTCATTTATAGTCTCTCTCTCAGACATTCATCCTTGTCTACCTGGAGTATACATTGCTCACCATTGCCTCGACACCTCCCTTTATCTCTGTAACAGCATTACTCCTAGCTCTGTGACTTCTCAACAAATCTGTTTGCCTGGTCACTGCTGGAAGGATTTTGTCCTGGCATTGTCACTTTAGTGTCTCTAACCCATTCTGGGGTCTTTTATGCTGTAGATCTTCCCTGCAAAAGATAAGGTAGCACCCATCAGTGGTTAAGATGCCCTGTGCTCAGAATCTGACCTTGTCATGTGCTATGTGACTTTGTGAAAGCTATTTACTCTCTTGAAGCCTGCATTTTTGCCTGTCCAAAATAAAGCCCTTGCAATGGTGTTAGAAGGATAACAGTAATTTAAATAAAAGTTTATAACCTCTACGCGATCCTACTAAAGGCATTCATGTTTGAGAGAGTCTTGGACATCAGAGAATGGAAATTATTACAGAAATTATTTATTGAGAATAAGCAATAATCTAAGTGCTTATTAATGTTGCCTTGTTCATTTCATATAGCATCCCTGTGAAAAATGATGTAATATTCCAATTTTACATATGAGAAATGGGGGCTTGCAGGTATTAAGTAACACATCTGCAACCACACAGCTGGAGTGAGAATAATGTTCCCCTCTGTCTGGACTCTGGGGATGTGAGTCCAGACAGAGTAACTGTAACAAGTAACACAAGAAGAAGGATTTTGCAGATGTAATTACGCTAAGGACTCTGAGATGGCAAAATTGATCTGGATTATCCTTATAGGTCAAGTATAATTGTAAGAGTACTTAAAAGATGGAAGTCAGGAGGGTAAAAGTCTTAGGAGACATGAGGGTGGAAACCAAGGGGAGGCAAGGAGAGAGAGAAAAAGAGAAAAAGGGAGAGATTTCAATCCACTGGAACTGAGAAAGCGAAGGCCAGCTTCTCAGCACATCCCATTCTCTTAGATTTGCCTACAGTTAGAGACATGGCTCTGTTTCCTGGGGCAGCTCTGTATTTCTTGTAGACTGAGCTCATTTTCATGAATCAGGAAGACGAGTCTGACCTGAATGTATCTGAATTTGTTTACTGTTCTGCTTAGAATGTACCAAGTATCATTTTTTATTTTCTTGATTACTCAAAATGATAGTTAAAATTTCAAGAATGATTACTGCACTATGATATGAGAAAAAGTAGTGTGCTTTAAAAATGTTAAAAATATGATTTTTATTTTATGTCCAACAGAAATGGGACACCAGAATTTACATTGTACTCTGTACTTCCAGAGGTTGCTTCACTGAATCTTTGCAAGTAAATAGTGAGATGAAGTCTTGTTAATAGGCAGATGAGGAAACTGAGGCTTAGTTAAGCAACTTGCCCACAGACACAGAGCTAGCATTTCAATTCATAGAGAATGACCCCAGAATTTAGAGTATGCTCCCAATTTAAGTGCCTCTATCTCATGTTAATTACTGTTGATGGAATTTTCAGCATTATGGAAAAGCCACAATTTCCTTCTCTCTGTCCTTTTCTTTACTTAGTTAGAAGTAAACTGAAAATATGCAAGCCACAGCAAGGTGAGGTCATGAAGGAAAAATAGAACAAATTGAATAAGACAGTATATGATTACTTTCTTCTTTTCCATTAAATTCTACCTTGCACATCCAACAGAACCTTTGTTCTTTGATTCTGAACATCATTTAAAAATTCTTATTTAAAAAACATGCCTTTGAATGTGAATGTTGACAGAGAGATCAATGCTGGAAGGCAGCCTGTGCTGGAGTATTGCCATTCATGCTAATGGCATCTGGTATTCACTGACTGGATAAATACTTATCAAAGGCTTCTCCTATGGGTCAGGAACTGAGAAGCTGATCATCACAGTATGAGTACTTTTAAGTCTAGGAGAACATTCAGATCAGTAGTAAGAGGCACAAGTAACACTTTGATTTGACCCAAGAAAACTAGGCTTGTCTGTCTTTAAGCTGTAGGACATCTTGTCATTTCAATTTCCGCCCCCTCTTCGCCCCCCCAGAAAAGATGTCAGCATTCATTTGACTGGACTTTTTCACACAACATATTTCTAGAAATGATTGAGCTGTTAGCCACAACAAGCCAGAACAACCATACTCTGAAATAGGTGCTTTTGTATTAAAGATTTCTTATGTGATAAGACTTGAGATATAAAGAAATAAACATGAAAATATGCACTGGGGAGTGATTTGTTACTATTAGTGATACTTGTATGTTCAGCAGAATTGGTTGGGTAATATGCATAGCACTTTCTTGCATAATGAAAAGCTATTTATTGGTGTATATGGAATAGTGTATTTTCCAAAGTTTCATTTGGTTCCAAACATTATTCTCCACTTAAAATGCCTTAAGCAGAAACATGTGCATTGAAATAAACTCTTCTTGAGGAATAGTTAGAAGCGAAGAAATTACCGGCTGTATTGGACGTGACTGGTCTTGGTATTGCCTCCGATTTGGTTTCACATAGAAAATCATCAATGGAGGGACTCAGGAGGGGCCGGCTTTCTTGTTGCTCATTCACCAGCTGAGAACAAATGAACACAGGTGTCACAGGGCTTTGTAAACTTGCAGAATCAGATGGGTTAAAATGCAGCCTTGCAACAAAAGAGTAGCAAAATAAACACATACATAAATAAATTACAGGGAAGGGGCAAGAAAGAAAAAACTACCAAGAGGGTGGGAATGAGCCTTCTAGCACTTTCAACATATTTATGATGCAGCCAACCACAATTTTTAAAGTCTAAGCCTTTCCCTTCCCTCCTGGAATCAATTAGAAGTATTCTGTAATTCTAATATGTATAAAGCGTCACCTACTGAATCATTTGCTAAGGGCCAATCTCATTCCTTACTCAGACAAGAGACTCCCGTAAGATTCAGCTAATAGTGACATATGACTCCAAGATGGCAGGTTCAGCTAAAGACTGGTCAGGTTTGGGTGGAGAGCCAGAGCAAATACGTTGATCTCTCTGCATGGACAAATACTTCCCTTTTCTTGCTCTCTTAGAAAACTCAAATCACCTAAAATCCCACCCACTACATTCCCCTCAGATGCTTTTGTAGTGCACAAGAAATATTGTTTTAGGAGAGTAATAAAATATTGTTCCTTGAACTCTACAGGTACCTAATAAGTACATTTGTGGAAATCTACGTGTAAAAAAGATTTTTTTGTAAATTCAATCATATTTTCCCTAAGCTAATGTGTATTATCAAGCTTTCAGATTGACTTTTAGTGGGTGGTCAAGAACTTGGTTATCCTGAACCTCTTTGAATCCAGGTTTATCCAAATTATGCTTCTATGGTTAACAGAGAAAAGGTATCTGATTCACAAGGGGTTGATTTTTACATTAACTGTCTTAATTCTTTGGGGGCTTTTGTATTGGCCTTATTTGAAGTAGATGTAGCCATCTAGTTTTTTCTACTTTCCTAAGAAAAGGATGTGTCTCAACATCTCCAGATTTTTAAGTACTTATGTTTGAAGTTGATTTTTAGGAGACACAAGATAACAAAGTGCTTTGGAATATTATCAAATACTTCAAAATACTTTACATGATTCTATTCACTGTCACCTCAGTGTCAGCAGTATCATAACTTAGAGCTGATGGAATATGGTAAGGGACCTAAATAATGGTAAGCTTGGAAGAAAAAAATGTAGTTCTAGGATTTCTGGTGGGGCAACATTGAAATGCTTGGTGGGCTTCAAAAAGAGGAAATCAAGAAGGCACTTGCTACTTTATTCTATCCATGCTATTATTTAAACATGGATAATCTACTATCTCCATCAGAGTTCAAGATTTTGGCATAAAGTTGGCCATTGAGGATTAAGTATTCTAAAAGTTCAATGTTCAAGTTACATTGATAGATATTTCTTCAATTAATGTAAACTTAATGTAAAATTTTATTATATATCAAGAAGAATATCACATAAGGCATATTTTAGTTTTAATCTTTTTAAAGGATGCTCCTTTACCCACAAGTAAAACTCTGATTCCTATATATATATATATATATCTTTTTAAAATTAAAACACTGTTGAGTACCATCCATTCTATTTATAATGAAATATTTTTAAATGTTGAGGGACTGTGAACTTCCCACAATTTTGAGATAAAATATAAACTTTTGTGCAAATCATGATCTATTTGAATTTAGTCATCATTCTTAATATTTTACCAGAATAAAAGTCAACTTGACTATCTAAAAATGCAATTGAAATGCTGATATAGAATGTAATTGACATGAAAGTTCTGCTATAGAATATAATGTACTGGAAAATATGAGTTGGTGTGTGAGTTCTGAAAATAGTCTGTTGCAGAGTCATTATTTCAATGATAGTTCATATATAGATTGTGTACATGCAATAGTTTGTATATTTACTGATAAAACTTGTTGAATAGCATGTGGCTAATGTAGTGAGCCTATCTAGTGCAGTATCTCTATAGTGACAGGATTCTAACTTCCCAAGCAGGCTGTGGCACTTGCAGGGAAGGCAAGGGAGACCCGAACTTTGCTGTGCTATGAGCTTTGGAAGAGGATGAAGGTCACCACCAAATATAGCACTATACCATTCCCGTAGAATTATTCTCCAGGCTTGCATTTACTGAGCTGTGCTTTCTGGTTCCTGGGTCTAGAGCCTAGAGTGACCTCAATGGGTAAAGTGTGTAAGGCTCAGAAATTAAAAAAATCACCCAGTACAACTGCATCTTGAAAACTCTGTATATGTGATATTACACCATAACCATCTTTTGGACAGCCATTCTGATGAAAAGCCTAATGGCATAGACAGATAACTAAGAATAACTGAATTGTCTTTTGGATAGTTGGGGTCAGAAGTCTTTCTGATTTTTGATTTTTGGATTCTGGGATACTTACTTACCTATCATGAAATATTCTGGGCATGAGACCCAAGTCCATACACAACATTCATTTGTATTTCACACAGTACTTATACATTTGGTGCATTTGAGTTTTAACTGTAGCTTCGGATGTCACATCAGGTGTTGAATTTTCTACTTTTAGTGTTAACTCAGCACCCAAAAGGTTTAGAACTTTGGAACATTTCAGGTTCAGATTTTTGGATTAGGGATATGCAACCTATATCAATTGTCATATAGACAAAATTCAAATTATATTCTAAAATAAATTATCTTAAACTCTGCCTTTGAATACAATTGGATGCTATTTTATTCTTTACAATAAAAGGACTAAGAAATTAGTCCTAAATAACAACTCTGTACATGAAAAAGTCTTCAAAAACTTCATGGAAAAGTTGAATTGTGAAAAACTATACATAGATATCATCTTTTTTTGGTAATAAAAATAAACTTAATTTTCAGTTCCACCTTTCAATGAACATTTGGAAGGCCCTTCATACATGTGAAACAGATCCATGGTGTTAGGGTGGAGTGTTAGATCTCTGCTGACACTATTAGTAGTAATTGCTGCAAAACTAAACTTGATCAATATTTTTAGAAAGTAAGACTTCTGTTCACACTAATATGTAAACGGAAGAACAAAAGCAACAGCATGGTTCAATAAGATGCCTGTCATCTTAGATAAGTTCGTTTTGTTAAAGATAATGGAATTTTTTAGAAAATGTTCCTCATTTAATCTTCATAGTTTCTGGAGACGGCACCTCTAGCACTTTCATGTTTCTTATTCTCTGGAACTTATTCTGAGAGACCATGAGGAGCTCATCACAGGCATGGTCTTCTCCTGTTTTCTCCTAGTTCTCTGAGGTCTGTGTCTCTCCTATGATTGTCTGGTTCCCCACTCCGCGTTGACTGCAACTGTCATGACTGTACAACCTCTCTGCCTAAGGTGCTCCTGTGATTCCTTCTGCCAGGTGCAGACCAGTTCCTGAGTCACAGGTTAGTGTTGGGAGAGTGGCAGGGCTCACAGATGAAGAGATGAAAGGCCAGAGGATGGCAAGCATGGAAGGTTTCTGATACTAAACTGAATGTTCTCTCCTTTTGATGAAGATATGGAAGATGAAATAGGAGCTATGATGAAGAAAAAAGAGATTTCGCCTTACAAGCTGTGAGGTCAGAGATTAAACCTTACTCATACTTATTTCCTTCACAACTTCAAATACGAAGTCTTCCTAGAAAATTGGTTCAATACATGATTCTGAATGAAACTACTGGGGGAAAAAACTGTCTTGAACAGTCCAATTTTTAAACTGTCTTCAGTTTGATGAATTCAGCGATGAGTATTTTAGTCAGTGGAAGTTCTAGTTTAGCTTTGTTCGTACAGATTAGAATAGCTTTTCTCATGTCCCCTTCTCATTTTCAAATACATTTATGATTGGTTACTTGAAAATGAATAAATCTTTAATGTCATAACACAAAAATTTTAAAACAAAACTTCCTAAGTGCATACACTTCTTTTTCCTGACTCATCTGGGGTATGGTTTGTTGACTTTTTGTAAAAATTACTTTCTTTAATTTGTAAATACTTTATGTACTTTCCTCATGTCATCCTTGGAGTACAGAGCACACTGATTCTATAAAAATAATAACAGATGAGTCAAAGTCTTCCAATTCTGCCTTTTGAGTAACTGAGCTGGAACAACTGCAAGCGTGACCTAATCAGATTATCACAGCTCTGTTAGAATGAATTACTTCATTAATTACAAAGGCCTTTGTATCAGCTTATTTACATTTAGCATTTTCATTTCTTATTTTCTGAACTTTCCTCTGGTTTTGGATGGGTTCAAAGACTCTTCAAACATGGGCAGATTCTCATTTCTCTTTGAGAATCCTATTTTGAGTAGTATGTTGTCCAGCATTCTTCTGCAGAGTCAGAAGTGAGTGCTTTGCACCTCCATTCCCTTGCCCTAGCCAGTAGCAAATTCTAGCTTTATCCGCTTTACCCTTCATTGGACTATGATCCAATTAGTTCTTGCATCCCACAGCAACAAGTTAGTTAGATGTATACAATGTGAATGCACTCGTGGAGAAATAGATTATTATGGCTTGCAGCGTAGGTAGTACTAACACTAAGACAGTTTTTCAAAATGGTAATAGAAATTCTAACAGGGCTATATTTAGTAGCCTTGAGAATGTTCTCATCAAGGACATTACTCTTTGTGACCTTTATCAGACATAAAATTCTATCAATAATGAAGTTTAAGGGGTGGGAATAGATAGAAAAACAAAAACTTAGGTTGAAAAGAAATAAAGTCCCTTAGTAGAAAGTAATCTAGAATAAAGTTTTAAGATACTTTGTTCTATAGGCAAAATGGATGGAACACACCATGATTTAAAAAGCCCTGGAAATATTGTCAAAATAAAAATATCTGAAGGTTCTTTATGAGAGAAAAATATTCCCCAAAGGAATCTTATTCTCATAAAGATAATACATTTTATTTTTGATGTATTCAATCTACACATGGTTTTGCCTTCTATTCTCAAATTTGGCTTGTATATTTTATTACAGTTTACTCTAGTGTTGTCAGCATAAATACCATGAGTCTCATAAGTTAAAATTTTCTAATAGCTATTTGTAAAAATGTGAAAAGGAACAAGTGAAATTAATTATAATAATACATGTTAACCCAATATATCCAACATGTTATAGTTAAAACATGTAATCTATATAAAAATTATCAAGGCAATTTACATTAGATTGGGGGAGGGCTGGGTCTTCAGAATCAATCTGGTGTGTATTTTATACTTATAGCACATCTCAATCGGGAGTGACCACAGTGCTGGATGGTCCCATGTGGCTACTGGCCATTATTTTGGACAGTGCAGACCCATAGATAATTTTCTTCTTAAAGATTGGATGAGTCCCTTTTTTTTTTCTTTAGATGGTTCATCAGTGCACTCTAAGTCATATTTGAATGCTATTCTAGGTTGGTAATCATTGGAGCTTGTATGTAAGTGCCTGATTATTGCTTGTTAGCAGATTCTTTGTGCAGAATTCAAATTATGTTAGACAACCATGGAAACACCTAGGGGTCCACCAATCTCTTTCTGCTTGATTCAGTTTTGCTCACTGCACTGTGGAGGGCTTCTACTGGAGTGCTTAATAAAATCCTTCTAAAAGTTGAGGTTTGTACAAAATATTCAAATGATACAGGACAAAATTCTGGGGAAAGCCAAACTTTTATAGAGAATCTGAGGGAATGAGCCTTTACTAACTAACGTAAGGGCCCAGTGATCCAGGGACTTATTCCGTATTTTATCAATTATGGTTTTTCCAAAGACATTATTGAGAGAGCAGCAATTAACTTCAAGCGTATCTGGAATTGACGACATAGCAGCTGGCATCAACATACCAGTGATGAAGATGAGTTGATGTATTCAGCACTTTGTAGCACTGTTATATGGGGCTTCATAGGAGGCAGTGGGACAAACATGTGTCAAAGACATCGATACACTAATACACTCACACAGGAGAACGAGCAAGAATGCGATGTGGTACACAGACTGGACGCTGTGCTTGTCATGGGAAGTACTCACTTGTTCAGATCATTCTGCTTCTTTTTGGCTTGTGCACGTCACTGGTGCATAGCAGGGAAGAAGCCACTTGTGTATCATGGAAAAAGTTTATTGACTAATAAAACTGCATTTGATCAAGAAATACTATATCACACTGTCACTGAATTTTGCAAAATGACCAACACAACAGGTGTATTGTATTTTATGAATCAGAACTTTCTGCTTGCTGATTCATAAACTGGCCAGTATGCAACAAGAATAGGATGCATCAACAAAAGCATTATCTAATCTTCATGCAGCAAATTCTAACTAGTATTTCAAAAACAGTTAATGTGACATTAGACAGGGGTTAAGGAAGGAACTTGGTACACACAAATGTTCTGAATGTGTGGAAATGGTAATAATCACAACTCCTTTACTGAATTAAAAGATAAAAATAGTATTTTGCTTAGAATTTTATATCTAAACATAGGTTGTAATTTCAATTTGGACATTTGAAATGGATTACTTCAATGTACATAATAATGCATGGGTTTGAGGAAAGAGAATTTTGAGCCTGTTCCAGGTTGTGATATCCTGATATGATATGTGGTAGCACAAGTGTGCCAATTGTAGATTTGGATGGGTTTTCTCAACTGATGCATATGGCTCTGCTGTCAGCTGAAGGCTTCATGTGGTTCTCACCTCCCGTAGTATTCACTGGAGGGAGTGCTGGCTGAATGTTTGGGGTTTCTGCAAAGGTCTAACCCTGATCAGCAGAAAGCCCAGATGCCACTGTGTATGCTTTACTGTGTAAGCTGCAGACAGAATGGAGACTTTGGTGGTAAACATGAAGCAAATTTCTTTCCAATTACTACTGTGTGTCATTGGGAAGAATATTTTCTTTATGAATAAAAACTTCAACAATATAAAATTTATCTCAAAGTCCTAGGAATCTGTAATAATTCAAAAATTATTCAACTTGATATTGTATGTTATAATTGCTATTACTTATAACATAGCATTTAGAATAAAATAAAACCACACATGTTGGCAGCAGCTGGGGATGAGATCGGCTGCTATTCTAAAAATAAGTTCCATAATTTAGCTTTTGATATAAATGTCTTCTTAAGGACTGTAAATGGACATTTTTCTAATTCTAGCCATGTTCATATAATTGGGACTGAATCACTGCATTTACTATTGCATTATGGAAAAAAATGAAATGTTTAAAATAATCATCTAATCTAAATTATAAGATAAATGCAAGTAAAAATATTTTCCATTTAAGAATTTAAAACTGGTAGTTGCGCAGAGTGTTGATGAGTATATTATACATATTTATGTAGATTTTACAGGGTGTTTCAGAAGTCCCTGAGGACACAGGAGTCAGTCTCAGCATGTCTTTGCACTCACATGCAAACTTTTTTCTGCACCGCTTACAGTAAGTGCTGAAAATGGCCGTGATGCGCTTACAACAGAGATGACAGCTTTGTTGTCAAGGTCGCTAAGTATGAGACGGGGGAAAATGCCATTTTCTGCATGAGGACTCTGGGCCTTCTGGATCATCCCTGTAAGTGAGCTATCCACATAAGCATGTATATACATATATGTAGTATGCATAGTCACAACATAAATATATTTAACATTTAAGAAAATTTAGATACTCTACTGGCAAACTGACATATGTATACAATATAACTTGTTCATAGGAATTTTTTTTGTATTGTTTTTGTTCAAATGCACCATTAGCTTAATTGTTATTTCTTTGTTAAAATTGTTAATAAAACTTCCTTATAAAGAAGCAGCATGTTTTATTTGCACGTACATGTACACTTTCTTTTTAGCTGAGGTTGAGTAATGGAAATTAATATCCAAATAACTAAATCATGAATTTCCTTTTCTTAATAGCAATTTTGATTTTCATTTATATTTGTATAATCATTTCATTAAAACTATCTTTTAAGAATTGGTTTCAGAGTTAATGTTTTTTTTTTTTCTAGTTAAAAATCACAATCTCTGGTATATTAACATATGTCAGCTTCCTACAGGAACCCTACGGGTCTGCCCACCTGTGATGTCATAGTTAGGAGGGGCTTTTCTTCAGCAGACTCCTCCCTCGGTATCTCCTTCATCACCATGGCAACAGCCTTATCTGCCGCCCTAGAGCCTTTTCCCTATAACAGTGAAATCAACAATGACTTGTGTCAGGAGAAATCTTTAACTTATTATTTATTACAAGATATTCTAACGTTTAAAGAGCAATCCAACATAAATGAAGAAGTAGGCTGCTGCAAGTGAATCTTGAGGCTTTTGGCTGAGGAGAAAACACACAAAATCTGAAAAAAGATTACTTGTGAACTTTTAGTTAGCTCCTTTTTCATCTTTATGGCTGACATACTAATTTGAACATAGTATTTTATATGTGTCATATGTTTTAAGGCAATTAACATGACAAGAACATACTTTTAGTAATAACAATTTTAAAACACTCTGGGTGGTCTGTTATATTCCTTTAAACATAGTTCCTAGCTGGTTTGAATGGCAGTGAGGAGTCTGGACAGGCGCAGAGGGTTTCCGCTGGGAGTTTTTGCTGTTTTGAGTGATTGGAATTAGAAGGAGTAAAAAGGTCCTCACACAGCTAACAATTCTTTAGCTGCCCGTCATTCCAGGTATTCACCCAGCTTTTTATATTGAGATAGTATAGCCTTGGTTAAAAAAAATAATGTACAACTATGGTTTTGAGATGAAGTAATTTTAATAGAATTGTATAATTATCTTTTAATTGGAGAATCTCATATATCCATGTGTAAGTAAAAGATGATTAATATTGTACTGAGATATTATACATAGTAAGTAGGAATTAAATACAATTTCAGGTCAAGTTTTCAATATACCATTTATTTGAGATGCTATAAACCCATAGACTGCACTGAGATAGTTTTTGCATGCACACTTATGTGTGCATGTGTATTGTATATGTATATTCCTGCATTATTTATGAATTATAAAATGGTATATTAGTTTTCTGCCTTTTGAGTTTATTGGATTATTAAAGTTTTAAAGTAGATATGGCATAAGGAGAAAAAAAGACAAATTATCATCTTCCCAACCCAACTTGAAATATTTCATTTTATGTAATAAATTAAATAATCTTTGAATTATTTAATAACAAAATAATTTTCCATTTTTCCCAGATATCTGGTCAATGTCTTTGCAGACAAAATAATCTCATACTAAAAGCACAAATGAATATCTGTCCTGTAATCTACTTAAAAACTACTTAAAATACAAATGTAGTATACAGAGAAGTTATGGGTAAAGGAACAAAAATAAACAAAGGGGAAGTCTGTTGTCTGTAAAAAGCTCTAATGGCTAGTGTCAAAATTAACTCCAGAGCTTAAGGAATATTGATAGTTTCCATGCAACAACAACACATTCTAGCATTGCTTCATTATTTTGGACTTCCCCATGGATTTTACTGTTTAGAAAACAGGGTCACCTTGTCCATTTTCTCAGATATTGACTTTTTAAAATGTAGCCAGCGGCAGCTTTTATTTATTGAATACAAAAAGATCTTTGCATAGTTCATGGATTTTAAAATATGTGAATCTTTTTGCAATGCTGAAAGTGTGTACTTTTGCATTATTTAGAATTAAAATGACTATGTTGAACGGTCATGTGCTATTTCCAAGGTAGAATATAAAATACTAGAGATTTTATTCAATGGATCTCTCAAGTAGTAATGTGTTCTGAAAAGTTTATATGGCCAGGATCCCCAGAATACTTTTTTTCTTAAAAAAAAAAAAAAGAAAAGAAAAATGAATGTTTCCTTGACTCACGAACTGAAGTCCTAATGATGCCAGGTTTCTTTTTAATGAAGCAATGTGGGTTTGCTAAACTAAGGATACATACAACTTTGACTTCTTAGTAAAAAAAATTATTATGGCACTATTAAACTGCTTAACAACTTAACCTTTTTTTAAGATAGACATCATACACTATAAGATCAGCACAATTTTAAAGCTATACTCATTTACAGGTTAAATAGAATTTGCAAAAAATTTCCTTGCAGCTTATTTTTTTTAGGAGTGACACAATTTGCGAGGAATTGTTTCCATGCTCCAAGAAGTTCTACTCATATAGCAATAAACAAAGTGACATGCTTATATTTAAATTCCTACGATATTTTAAAAAACAGATCTATATTTACAGGTACAATTCAAACTCTTTGGATAAGGAAAAAAGTCAATTGATAAGCATCTCAAAATATTAAGGTTCATTTTTCAATATATCATTTATTTGAAATGCTACCAATCCATAAACTATATAGATAAGGTTTTACAGGTGCAACTATAATAGCTAGAATTAGCAACGGACATGCCATTTCACTAAAACAAAACCAAAACCAAAATAAAAATTAGTCCTTTCATGCTGAACTCTAGAACAAAGCAGTGGTCAGCTAGAAAGGTTGTATAATAAAAGACATGCGGTGTTTTTTATTTCTTGCAGAAAAAACCCACCAAAGCCAGGGTCAGGTCACTTTTTTGAAGACAGTGCCACTTTTTCTTCAAGGTTACACCTACTACCTGAAAAGAGTCATGACACCCACGTTAGTGCCTGCTAGCAACCTTTTTCCTTTCAGCCTTTTGGCTTTTGAGATACTACCCCATGAGCCTCACCATTTTGCAAGTGGGTACAATCAGCAAACAGGCAGGAAGGACTGCCACAATGACATCTCCAGGGATCCAGTTATGGTGTCTGAAACCACGGGCAAGGCAGGTGTCCACAGTCATAAAGCAAAGCAAGCTTGTCCCCAGATCAAATGGCCTCCTCTACCTAGCATCTAATCAAGTTGTGCTATTAGTGACTGGTCCACTTACTTTCTAAGATAATGCTTCTACAAACTCAGTATCTGGCTTGTATTGATTCAGCAACTCATGAAACAACTTTGCTTAGCAGCAACTCAGCAGGGCTGACAACAATAAAACTGTGCAAATGTCTGTCTTTTTCAGACATTGGTTTGTGATACTGTGAGAAATAGGTATGTGTAATTATTTAGACTTTGTACTCTTTTTTGCAGATGACTCCACTAAATGGTCAGTATTCACCTATTATCTCAAACACACAGACAGCCAAAAAAAAATACACAGAAGTGGTTTATATATTTTGATTACATTAAAACTGTAATGCTTGAATGTCATTTTAGGCAACAACAGAAGAGAAAAACTTCAGAAGCTGGTTACCACAATATGACAAATTCCTGCAATTATTATAGCCTATTTATTTTCACATTAATATTCCAATCTTCTTCAGTGAATTTCTTAGGACTTTTTTCTGTTTGAAAAACAGTATCAACATAAAGGAAAATTTCTATCAGTCTTTGTGCTTTGCTATGAAAAACTATGTTTCTCTTTATCATCTGTTTCCTCACCAATGAAATTTACTACACCATAGCTTTTTAAACAAAGAATCCTTGAGAATAACTTTTTAAATGAACTTCCATTAAGGCAGCAGGTATAAGCCAACTAAACAGAGAGAATTGGAGGTGATATTTACTTTTATTTCAAAAATCCCATTTGGTTCACTTGTATTGTTTTGTTAACATAGGATGTAGGGATCAGAGAATGCCATATTGGACATTACAGTATCCTCTGGGGTCAGAGACCAGGCTGTGGTGTCCCAGGATGTATTCAGATGAGATGCTGACTCCAGACCTGCCTCACAGAGAGGCCACAAATGCAAGGTTGCTGTGAGATGTGTGAGGCAATCTTATTTGATCACATAATAACTGTGGGGAAGTTGTGATCTCCCATTAACAGTGCAGGTCCTGGTGGCTCAGAGACAGTGTGTGCTGGGACTGGGCTGCAGACCTCCCTCGCCCACCAGTGGGTGTCTTTCCCGGTCACCATGGCTAACATTTTCTGTCTTTATGAGGCTGGAGAACAACTTGGCCACCCTTACTGACTGCTGTAAAATCAAAGTTGTTTATGACATCACTCAGATTTTGGGCAGTGGCCGCTTTTCCGTGTAATCATACAGAGTGGCTCTATGCAAACACTTTTGAGAAATGTCTTTTTTTTTTATTCTTCTTTAGAACCATCCATCAGCGCCAACTGCCCAATAACTGCTCACTAGCACACTTCTAATCAAATATTTTTGTTTCTTTTATTGCCATTGAAAATGAACCTAAGCATTTCATCTATGAAAAGCTCCTTATTTTGCAGGTCTTTGTAGGCTTATAAGCTTTAGTATTGATCTAATTCTAAGTGGCAATGTAACAAATATATTTCTTCATATACAAATACGTGCAGATATCAGCTACCTAGATAATCTTAGCAATGCTTTTTTAATTGGAATACTGTTCAGCTTTGCATTTGTACAAAAATTATAGATCTCACAAATTCTGCACCCTGGACTTAGGCATCTGCAGAAAATTGGCCACAGAATGGCTAATTTCTGAGGCTGCTCTTGTCTCTCATGCGCACAGCCAAGATAATCTTCTTTCACTTTGGAAAGTAAATATCACAGAAAGTGTCATGTTCCCTTCAAACTCACATGAGAAAAAGGTCAGGCAACATTTTAAGTGGCCTCTGATTGCTGGTAATCTCTTCTTACCATTTTGTGTCCTTTTCCAGGTAAGTGTATGCCTGTAGATTTCCTGCAATGGGAATTAGGGTTCAGGTCCTGTTAGTTCTGCCTTAACTGACAGAATGTTACATAAGTGTTTTAAGTGGTAAAGTTAGAACAAAATCCAGGCATTCTGCTCAGCTCTTGTTTCTGTTTCTAAGCATGATGAAAGAAGCACAGATCCAGGAGTAAGCGATTGGGAAGCATGGCTTGCATCCCCTCTTTTCAGTAGTGATTCCTATGTGGGAAATCACAAGCAAAGAATTCACCAGTGGTTCAATGACCTGTTTACAGAGAGAAATGATGTGATTTCTGATTGCTTAATAAGGACAAACAGATGGATGCCCAGCTATCTAAATTAACAACATAAAGAATTTCGAATTGACTCTCCAAATTCCTGTTACCATTTTTTTTTTTCTGAAGCAGTATTGTTTTATGGTTGGTAGGTGTTTACTTCAAGTCATCATCTTTTCTAGAAATCTTCTGAGCTTAACAAGGACTGGTTTGTGTTTTGTGTTAGTCAGCAGTTTCTGTTACACCCTTCCAG